AACTAATAAATCGTTCTTAGACAATTTCTCCAATCAGAATTAACTCTCTTGTCGAGCCTCGTCTCACCCCACTCTGGCGATTTTGCATTAAAATCGCCAGTGATGATGACATCCAGCTTGGATTCTATGAGGCTTGATTTTAGGTTTTCTATATTGGCTTCGAAGGTGGTCAGTGGGTCGTTGGGTGAGAAGTAGCAGCTATACATACGTATATTAGCCACCTCTATCCACACAAACCCGCTGCTTGTTTTCAAGAACTTGTCAACCCGGAATTCTGGGTTGCACAGCTTGATGGCGGCTCTCTTCGCCTTATCCTGATACCAAGGTGCGAGGTCGCTTCCTTGATACTGCTCACTGCAGAACAGGATATCGACCTCATTTTCCCTAGCTGTTTGCATCAGGAGCACCTGTGCATCCTTACTTGTATGCAGGTTGACTTGAAGGAGCTTTAGGGATTTACCCTTTTAAGTTTCTCCAGTTCCTCCTTGTAAACCGGGCAAGAAATTCTTCCAGGGATATGGTTGACTTCCGTTTTTTCCAAACCTGTACACGTTATGCACTTTGGCTTGTCACTAGTACACTTTTTGGAGAAGTGTCCCGCTTCGCCGCATCTCCGACAGTTTTTTGTTCTGTCGGGGCCCTTGCAAATTCGGGTCACGTGTCCATAGGCTAAGCACTTTTGACATCTTGTCACTTCTAAGTGCGTTCGGATGGATGCGTTTATCCAACCAATACGCACTTTGCCTAGCTTAAGCAGACTCTCGCTGTCCGTTTCACTCAAGCGTACTAGTGCCACTTTCGTACCACCAAAACGTGTCAAAAGTCGGCAAGTCACAGCTAATTCGGGCTTTTGCAACTTATCCTTTAAGACAGTTAAAACGTCCGCCTCTGAAGTTGTTTCGTCGAGTTCTTGAATTTCGAGGGTCTTTTTACTGACAAGAGCCATAACCTCGGCCTTGTCCTGAAGGACGGAGGTAAGATTCTCAGCGAACTTTGAAGTTTCACCCCCCTTTTTGACCACAACAAGAACCTCCTTTTTAAGAGTTCTCCTAATTTTCACAATCTCGGTGCCAGTTTCCTCTGGCTTTACCGAAGTTGTTGCCAGTTTTATAAGATCATAGTAGGTCTCTGGATTCCGGGCCGAAATTTTTATTGCCTCCGTGGTTCTAATTTTGAGGGGCGCTTCTGAAGTCCCTCCCTCTCCTCCGCTCTCTTCAAGGCCTTTCTCTTACGGGCCTCTCGTTTTCTATTGGAGACGGTTTCGAAGTCATTTTTGTTTTCAGACTTATTTTCCACAGTTGCCTCCGAATAAGAAGCAACCCTGGCCGAAGCAGCCTTACTCACCTCCGTCTCCATAGCAGTAGGGTTTGCCTTGGTCTCTTTGCTCTTTACCCTCTTGCCCTTGGGAGTGGTCACAGTAGAATCAGTCTCCGGACCTTCAAACTCTCTAGGGCGCTTCCTTGGGTCGATGGACTTGCTCTCGCTACATGTGGCGTGCGACATCGATCCAGGAGTTTCAGGATTCGACCTTGGTTTGCATGGGCTAATGAAGGGCTTAGGTATAAAACGCAGGTTACTGCGAAGCACCTCGTGCACCTTCCCCAATGCCACCATTCCATCCTGAACATCCTTGCTAATATTTCTTTGCTTTTTGCAAGCACGCCACATACTTTCCAGTATTTTAGGGATCAGATCGACCTGTTCTAAAACATTACCTTTGAATCTGCTAAGTCCCACATCCTCAGAATTTTTGCTTTGGCTCCCTCCAAAATCCTTGGAGCCATCTGCACCGACTATCGGGGCTTGCACCCGATCAGAATCGGTGGTGGGATTACCCTCTTCTGAGGTACCCACTTGGAGTAATTTTTTTAAATCTTTATCCATTTCATTTTTTTTATTCTTTGTCCCGTGTCGATGGACAATCGGGCCTTAACAGGGTACGACCATCTGGCCAGGATGGGCCCTGAACCGCCTCCGTTAGTTACATAGACGTTATAGCATTGGCGGAGCATTGATGCGACGTCTATGATATCCAAGGGCACATGAACAAGTTCGTTCGGACGTGGAGGTCGATGTGTCTCTCCAAGATAGCAGGAAGTTTCCGCAAAGGGAGTGCATCCCGGTATCTCTTTACAGAGTTTACCCTCATTATTATTATTATATTTATAAATAACTTTTATTGAATTAATTGTAAAAAAGATTTTATGTAATTCAGATAAATAATAATTTATGTTAACAATTAACAATAGTGAACAAAATTTTTATTATAATTAAAATTAATTATTATTGAAATAACATAGTAGCTTTAAATACTTCTTTAAAATTTTTATAGAAATTTGAAGTTATTTTGTCTACATTTAATATGCACTAACAAAATTTTTTTTAATTTTCAGATATGTGGACAGAATTTTAAAAAATTGAAAGAAACGTTTTGTAAATGTATTTTAAAAAATTTAATAATAAATGCATTAAAAATTAAAAAAAAATTTAGAGAAGCTTGAAGAAAGTTTGTACAAAAAGTTTGCTGTTAAAGTTTACAGCAAGCTTGACGCATAAGAATTTTGTAAGCTGGCGATGTAAGTGTGTGACAAATTTTCATAGTCATATTGTAGCAAGCTTGCAGTGTAGGTTTGTCGGAAGCTTGCTGTGTAATCTTGCAGCAAGTAGGACATTTTAGTACTTGCAGCAAATTTGCAGCAAGCTTACGTGTAAGATTGCAAATCTTGTTGTGTAAGTTTGCTGCAAACTTACAAGTTACTTGAGGAATGAGAGGAAACAGAGACGAATTTTTGCTGGAGAATAATAAATATTGATGTTTCACGAGTAATGTAAAGAAACTCAAAAGATCATCGTTTCCCCGCATGAATTTGTTCCTGTTTTCTCTCTCATTCGCTGCCGCGCGAAGCCAGAATCGAGTCGTCACAGTTGAATTTCAATGCACCAATCGGTCGAAACATTATAAAAATTAAGTTAATGTTTGTTTTACATTGTAATATTTACAAAAAAATATTTGCTTGAAAAACTTCCATAATTAATTAATTAACATTAAATTGTTATTATATTTGATATTTTATAAGATCAAAGTTACGTTCAAGCATGTCCTGTATATATATATATATATATATATCTAAATAAATAATAATAATAATAATAATAATAACAACAATAATTTAAAATTAATTGAATCAATCTAATTAATTGTAATTCAAAATAAAATATTTAATAAAGTATAGATTAAATTAAGTGTAAATTAAAAATGACAATGATGCTATAAATTATTTACATGAATTGATTCGTTTTCGTTCCAGGAATATAATTTTGACAAGAGTTAATTAAAATTTCTATATAGAAAAAAAACATTTGAAAAAATTGTAAAAAAATGTAGATATATTGTGTCAGATTTTAGGTATTAAAGACTGCAATGCGCCTACAAAATTTCCTTGTGTCAGATTTTAGGTATTAATGACTGCAATAAACCTGCAAAATTTCCGGACAATCCGTCAAAACGTGTCTGAGATAATTCTTACACAATATTTTGTATACACACACATACATCTGGACATTTGCTCAGAATTTCATATACATGTATTCTAGATAAAAATGAGTCCATATAACCTTGTTTTGAAAATTTGAAAATCGTCACGAATGCAAAGCTTCCTCATGAGGAAGCAAAAATAAATAAAAAAGAAATATTGAAACACTCTTCTTTTAAATATCTAATGCCAAGTATTTTAATTTAAAAAAAAAATTTTTTTAATTTTTTCTTTCTAAAGTAAATTTACATTTAATTTTAAAAGAGCAATTTTACATTCACTTTTAAGTAAATAATATTTTATTAAAATGCATTTTAGAGCAATACAAATAAAATACTTTAATGTTGCGGAAAAATTTATAAATAAAAAAACGTAGCGACAGTAAAAAAAATAGATCCTACCGACACTATTTAGAGATTATACGTACCTAAATATTAATACAAAAATATAAAAACTCAACATTTTTCATCCATCTTCCAGTTTCTCAATCTGAAAAATTAATTAAATTAATAATTTGATTAATAATGATAATAAGAAAAATAATAAAAAAATAATAAAAATAATAATAATACTCATAATATAAAGTAATAAAAATAATAATAGTAATCTCTCTGAAATTTATTTAATAAATTTTACTAATAAATTAATTGAAATTACTACATATTAATAAAATTTACTAAATCAAATTTAGAGAGAAAATAGTAGGTATTAAAAATATAATATTAGTCGGTAATAATAAGAAACATACTAATAACAATTAATAAAAATCAAAAATAAATTAAAATTACGACTGATTATAAATTTTGTTAATATTAAGGTTTTAGTTAACTTTATTGGGATAGGCAACGAAAAATGTCAAAATTTTGAAAGAAAACTAGAAATTTTGTTACATCTATATGACCTTCCTAATGATGATTTATCTAAAATTTTCATGTTTACATTGCATTCAAGATTTTTTTTTTAATTTATGAATAAGGCTTTCAGAAGGTAATAATAGATGATACGAATGGTAAATAAAAGATTTTCAGATAAGAAATAAAAGATTAATTGTTACATTCTATTGGCAGTAGTCGATTTACTTTCTTTATAAAAAGGTCGCCTACAGTAAGGGACATGTCAATCGTTTTTTTTAAATAAATTTAATCTCAAAAATTCTATAATTCATTTCAGATCCAAATGTAAAGCATATAAACACTAGAAAGCAAAAAATTTCAAACTGAAATATGAATTAGTATTTAAAAAAAATTAAATTTAGATTTCAAATTAACATTAAATTTAAACAAAATTGAAATAAAATAATAAAAAAAAGAAAATTCTGATTAAGATTTAAAACTTCAAAAAAATTATTTAAACATTATGAAAGAAAAGAAAAATTTGTGATAGAAAATTAACATCTTGAAAGAAATTGTCAAAATTGTGTAAAAAAATATTTTTGAATTTACACAAATAATTTTAAACTCTCAAGTGACCAAACAACTAAATTTGTAAGAAAAACTAAATTGCAAATTTCAAATGCAAAAAAGTGAAATATGAAATAACTGTGAAAAGGAAAATTCTTTATGTAGTAAATTGAAAAAATAATTTTCGATTTCGAAAAGACAAAATTTCGATGAGGCGAAATTGTTTTGAAAAAAATAATGCCGAAGAATAAGGAAAATCATGCATTACTGCAGTATACGGCTGCGTTCACAGGTAAGACGAAAATACAATTAATTCAAATTGAATTGAATAATTACAGGCTTCGGACTGAATTTAAGAATAACGGAGAAAAATTTTCTGTTAATAATTACAATATTCGAACATTACTGTTCGGATATGTCACCACTTTTTGTAATGCCTAAAGACTCCCAATTACAAGATTAATTATATTCTTAAACTAGACAATTTTATTAAACCCTAAGCACATGAATCTAACTTAAATATTAAAACGCATAAGCTAATAACGATCGCTATTTACACATATTTATTTTTATTTATATTTATATAACCTTCCTATATATCCACCGCTTTCGAGAAAGACTATTACATTTTAAATATAAAAAAATTACTTTGATCTCAATAACAATTATTAGGTATAATTTTTATTGTTTATTTTTTTTAATAGTGTAAAGTCTATTTTTATTGCATTTCTATTGTAAAAAAAATTCTTGATTAAATTTAGTATAAATTTACATTTTTAACATATAAAACAATAAATCCTAAGGTCTATTATTTTGTATTGCGTTTCTATTATAAACAATTTATTGATTATATAAATGTAAAATCACTTTACCGTAAATTGTGAGATATTAAAAAACTTTGAAAATTAAATTAACACCAAAAAATTAAAATAATCCATTTTGGCATTATTTTTTACTATGAATGAAATTTTAATTTAAATCAAAACCACGTCAACGATTTTTCAAAGAAAATGAAAGTAAGTCTAAGTAATATCACCAGTGGCTTTTTTAACGAAATTAGTGTCAGTAACTTATTTATAAAAATAGTAGCTAAATAGGATTCACGGTAAAAAAATTTTTATGGAACAGTTATAAATTTCATTAAATTAGCGAAATTAGCGCGTGAGTCCGAGACCTGTACTTATTTAAAAGGCTAAAGACAAATAAATTAGTCTAATCTATATTCTTAAAAAAACATAAGTATCAAAATCTCAAACAAAAAATTCAAAATAAAAAAATTAACTCCTTAAAACAAACTGTTGAAAAGAACTCAAAATTTTGTCTACTTGTTTGGAGGTTAGTCGAGCAAAAGTGGTTCCAAAAAATTTATCTTAACGAATTGAAAAGACTTGAAAAAAATTAACGCTTTAAAAATACCGAAACTACCCGGAAATTTTCGAACTAAGTGAAACTAAGTAAACTGTTACTTAAACTAAATGATTCCGGAATACTTTCTACTTAAAAAAAACAGTTACAATAAGACTTCGTTGACCCTGCAGTATTTTACGTTAAAAAAGTTCATTTTATATATAGAAATAACAGAACTACCAGGAAATTTTTTATATAGAGTACATTATTATTATTTAAACAATTTTAAATGCTTCCTAATACTTTTTATTGTGAGCAGATAAGTAATCTAACATTGTTGCAAAATACGACACTGTTAAAAATAATCATGTATTAAACACGTGTCGATTTAGACACTTAAATCAATGCTTGATACACTTATAAATATATGAGAAAAATTTTTTACACGTGTTAAAATATTTCCTCGTTTGTTTGATCATGTATTTACCTGTGCAATTTGAGTGAAAAAAGAAGGTAATCTTACTTATTTTCAAAAGAACTATACAGTATTCTAACCAAAAAAATTAATTTTATAAAAGTACCGGAACTGCCCGGAAAATTTTAATTCGAGTTAATTGTTATTTAAACAATTCTAAATTTTTCAGAATATTTTCCATTGTTAAAAAATAGTTTACTGACGAATCTGCTAAAAATTATCCATTAGATAACATAAAATTAACTATTTCAAAATACCGCGAATGTCCCGAAAATTTTTGGAATTATTTTTAAGTAAATTGATATTTTAAAGGTACCCTAATTTTTCTGGATCAAAAAGATAGTTAATTTGCTTTTCCGCAAAATACCCTGAAATATTTTAAACTAAAAAATAGAACTTTACAAATCCACCGGAAATACCCGGAAATTTTTAATTCGGTTAAATTGTTTTAGATAACTCTAAATGTTTCAAAATTTTCTTTATCGTAATGATTCTTTCGTATAATTTGAAAATTGTTTCCGATTAATTACTCCCAAATCAATTACCTACCTTTTTTGCTTTTCACATAAAAATTCAAAATTATCACTAACCATAAAATACACTAATTCCATTAAACATTTTTTGCAGCCTCCATCACCGCAATTGGATTTGTCTGCGGCTACTCTTGGCCATCACCAGCTCTACCCTATTTATTAAGCAAATCATCAATAATTCCCATAACAAAAAATCAAAGTGCCTGGATTGCCTCTCTCTATCCTCTCGGCCTAATAATCGGCTACCTTCTAAATCCCCTATTTGTCGATCGAATCGGACGTAAACGAACCCTCCTCCTCTTCTCTCTACCACAAGTCGCCTCATGGCTTCTAATAATATTCGCCAAAAACACACTAAATCTCTACATAGCAAGAGTAATCGGCGGAATTGGTTACGGTGCCGGAATATCATCATCAACCGTCTACATCTCCGAAATCGGCAACGTCAAAAATCGTGGCATATTTCTCGTCCTTCTAAAATGCATGATGAACTTAGGTTTCCTCTTCACCATGATTTTAGGAGCATTTTTAAACTATCAAAACATGAATCTCGTCCTACTAACAATGCCGATAATTTTTGTCCTTGCATTCAGCTTTCTACCAGATTCATCCTACTTTCGTGATATCAATCGTAGAAAAGAGGAGCAGGAAAAGAGAGACAACGCGACTGTTAAATTGAAACTTTTACGCGAGGAGGAGGAAAATATCGATAGAATTAAATTTGATACTTTTATCGTTAAGACAAAAGTTGACCACATTCGAAAAGAGGACAACGAAGGAAACGTTGTGGCCAATGCAAATGGTGACAATTTATCATCTACCGGACAAAATAGAGAACAAACCACTGGAGGTACTTTCGAACTACGAGGAGTAAAAACCGAAATAGAAACCACCAAAGGTACTTTTGAACCTAGAGAAGTAAAAAACGCAGATGGTACATTTGAACCTAGAGGAGTAACAACAACGGAAGATACTTTTGAACCACGAGATGTAAAAACCGTGAAACAAACCACCAAAAGTACTTTTGAAACAAAAGTAGTAAAAACTGAGAAACAAGCAAAAAAATCCACTCTAAGAAACAACATTTTTTGCAAATTGTACTCAGAACAAAATTACCGTCGAGCATTGGAAATAATGCTGACAATGGGCCTGACCAACATTCTTTCTGGCCACGCTGGAATAACAACATTCACACAACAAATTTTCACGTACGAAGGAGCATTTCTGGCACCTGAGAAAGCGTCAGTGGCACTTGCACTGATAACCCTGATTATTTCCCTCCTGAGTACAATAATTGTCGAGAGAATAAGAAGAAAATTTTTAATCGCCTCAACGGGTGTAATTGCAACAATTGCCCTTCTTTTTGTTGGTGTTTTCTTCTACTGCCAAGAGTCAAAAATGAATGTCGATGTATTTAAATGGGTACCACTGGTTGGTATCACAACTTATGATGTTATGCTCTCGTGTGGAATGGGTAATGTTTTTTATGTTTATCAGGGTGAATTGTTTGCGCACGAAGTGAAAAGTGAATCGATTGCATTCAATAAAATAAGTTATATGACATTGAGTTTTTTGTTTTTGTTACAATTTCAAAATTTTATCGATGCAGTGGGTACGTATTGGGCATTTTTTTCATTTGCATTTGGTATTTTCTTTGGTACGTTTAGTGTTTATATTCTTACACCGGAAACAAAGGGGGTTAATCTTGATGATATTCAAGTTTTATTGAAGTCGAAGAAATTTTTTTATTGATTTTTTTTTAATTTTTAGGAGAAAGAAGAAGGCAAAAAAGAGTCTTAAAAAAGCCAAAAGGGACCGTCCATAAAGGGGCGCATGATTATTCCCCAAATGTCATTTTTCCGAAATGTCATTTTACCGAACTGCACTTTTGCGAATAGTCAATTTTGCGAAAAGCCAATTTTGCGAAATGTCACTTTTGCGAATTGTCATTTTTTCGAAAAGCTATTTTTGCGAATTGTCATTTTTTCGAATCGCAATTTTTACGAATTGTCAATTCACCGAAAAGTCATTTTTGCGAATCGCCATTTTTACGAATTGTCAATTTTCCGAAAAGTCATTTTTGCGAATTGTCATTTTTACGAAAAGACATTTTTGTGAAATGTCATTTTTGCGAAAAGAGATTTTTCTGAAATGTCATTTTTACGATTAGTCATTTTTGCGAATTGACATTTTTGCGAATTGTCATTTTTGAGAAATGTCATTTTTGCGAATTGTCACTTTTGCGATTTGTCAATTTTTCGAAAACTCATTTTTGCGAATTGTCATTTTTACGAAAAGACATTTTTGTGAAATGTCATTTTTGCGAATTGTCAATTTTCCGAAAAGTCATTTTTGCGAATCGACATTTTTACGAATTGTCAAATTTCCGAAAAGTCATTTTTGCGAATCGACATTTTTACGAATTGTCAAATTTCCGAAAAGTCATTTTTGCGAATTGTCATTTTTGCGAAAAATACAATAGAAACTTGTAGGTATCTATAAATTCACTATTGTATTTTTCGCAAAAATAACAATTCGCAAAAATGACTTCGAAAAATTGACAATTCGTAAAAATGGCGATTCGCAAAAATGACTTTTCGGAAAATTGACAATTCGTAAAAATATCGATTCGCAAAAATGACAATTCGCAAAAATAGCTTTTCACAGAAATAACAATTCGTAAAAATGGCAATTCGTAAAAGTGGCGATTCGCAAAAGTAACAATTCGCAAAACTGACATTTCTTAAAAATGACAATTCGCAAAAATGGCAATTCGTAAAAATGACTTTTCGCAAAAATGACTTTTCACAAAAATAACATTTCACAAAAATGTCTTTTCGTAAAAATGACAATTCGCAAAAATGAGTTTTCGAAAAATTGACAAATCGTAAAAATGGCGATTCGCAAAAATGACAATTCGCAAAAATGAGTTTTCGAAAAATTGACAAATCGTAAAAATGGCGATTCGCAAAAATGACTTTTCGGAAAATTGACAATTCGCAAAAATGACAATTCGCAAAAATAGATTTTCGTAAAAATTACAATTCGCAAAAGTGACATTTCGCAAAATTGGCTTTTCACAAAAATGACTATTCGCAAAAGTGCAGTTCGGTAAAATGACATTTCGGAAAAATGACATTTGGGGAATAATCATGCGTCCCGTCCATAAAATACGTAAGGCATTTTTCTTAAATTTTGACCCATGCACCCACGTCTGTAAGGCTCCGTAAGATTTTGAACCACCCACCCCACCCCCTATCTTACGTAAGTTTTTGCTTAGGTATTTATTACGAGAATTTACTAGTAGCATTGCAAAAAATTGTTTAACTAATAAAATGAATTAATAAACAAATGTTTGGTGTTTAGTGTATAGTTCTGTATTTCTTAGAATATACTTAATTTATATAAAATTTATTAAACATATTTTACTTTGGTCAAAATAATAAATATTAATGTAGAAATTTAGCTTAATATTAACATCTTTGGCATTGGGACGCGTCGCGTCTTCGTTGCGTTTTGGCTCATTCTGGAACGACCCTATCATAGCTTGACAATTTCCGAAATTTATAGAGTAGTGTAAGAAAATATATCTTACGTAAGAAATTCGTTTAACCAGGTACCCACCCATGTAAGTTAACATAGAAAAATTGTCCACCCCCCCCCCCACCCAAATGACCTTACGTAATTTATGGACGGCCCCAAAACAAAGACAACAAAAAAGAAAAAAACGCAAAAAATAGTAAAACATGAATTTTAAAAAATAGAAAAAAAAGGTTTATAAAAAAATGTTTTGACTTAAATTGTATAGAAATTATAGATGAAATTAAATTCTTTTAATAAAAAATATATTTTTACAATAGAAACTAAAATATTCAATCTACTTCAAAATAGAAAATAATTCAAATTAATACAGAATCATTCGAATATGATGTCAGTTTTTAAAAATTCAAAATCGCGGATCCAATATTAGAAAACGCCATATTGGATCCACCATTTTAAATTTTTAAAATCTGACTAGAGTGCAGACACTGCATATCTATAGTTTAACTAATTTTTTATTTATTCATAACAAAAAAATTTTTTTATTGAAGAAATTGTTTTTATTTAACATAAATAACGTAGATCTGAAACTCTGAAACGAAATTTTAATATTTATGTGAATAAAATGAAAAAATCTGTAGTCGTGGATATCCGTATTAACACAAGGGTTAATGGTTATAAATGTAATTTGACAGAATGTTTACTTTAACAAATATTAATTGCAAATAATGTTTTTATACTCCAATAAACACTTTTTTTAAGGTTAAAAAATCATGATTTTGATCTAAAAACATTGATTATCGCTTATTTTTACTATAATTAACGTTTTCACCACACGCTTTCAAACTAATAACCTCCAAATTTCAGACACTATAATTATTAAATAAGGTCGAGAAATTTTATTAAAATTATATTCAAAACAATTGAATTCCTGCGAAAAATGTCTGTACAAAGAATAATAAATCAGTTTCAAAAATTTTGTTTCTTAATATATGATTTTTATAAATACTATAGGTTTACGTTCAGATAAATTAAATTTGAGCCAAGAAGATTTGAGCTTAAATGAATAAGATGAATTACAGAATTCAGAGGATTAAAAATTTTGACGATTTAATTTTAGAGTTAATTAAGATTTTAATCGATCAAACGTTTAATTAACATTGAATTATTTGCTATAGAAAAAGAAAATTTTGTAAATTCTCTACTCGAGGCAAGAATTTAATGGAATTATTTTCTATTAAAAAAAATTCAATTAATTTTTCTTAGAGAGACGTGAATGGAATTGAGTCTAATCGAATTTAATTTTTTTTATAATAAATGTTTAATTAATTTTTCTCTAGAGGTATGAAGTGGATTAATTTGAATTATTTAACTATAAAAAAAAGAACAATTATTTTTCCTTTGAGCGATGAATCGAAATGAATTAAATTAAGTTCTACAAAAAAAAGGAAATTTAATTAATTTTTCTTCAAGAGCTGACTTATTAAAAGTAATATAGAATTGAATTAAATTATTTTCAATAAAAAAAGGAAGTTTAATTAATTTTATTCTTCAAGACTGTGTATAATGCGACGTTGAGATTTTGTACTAATTAAAAAAAATATTATTTACGATGTGGAATAAATTTAATTTTTGACTGATATACAAATATGTTTGTGCATTTATTGATAAAAACACTTAATCACCTTAGAATAGAAAGAGTGAGAGAGAGAAAAAAATAGAAATAAGTAATTTTTCTTTCATTCACCGTGCACGATAGTATCATTTGTGATAGATAAAATGAAATTGGATAAGAGAGAAAAAGTTGTGTATCTTTTAAATACGTATTTCAGTCGAATGCATACAGCCATGAAGAAAAGTACATTTTCTTCCAAAACAAAAACAATATTGTTTTCCACAAAAAACTTACATTAAAAATGAAATATTGTGATATTTCTACAAAGTTAAAAAAAAATTAATTTTATTTAATTGTAATTAATTTTAATTTTTTTTCGTTTGAAGTAATTTTAATTTTATTTTCTACTTTTTTCAATTTTAATTAATTTTAGTTATTTTTCCAATGTTAATTGATTTCATATGATTCCAATTAATTTTATTTAATTCGAATAAATTTTATTCTCAAAAATGACTGATAAATCAAAATCAATTTTGGCGTTGCAGTATGCAGCAGCAATCACAGGTAAGTTTAGTAAATAAATAAATAATATAATGCTAAATAGACAAAACTTTTTTTTCGATATTAAATGAAACAAAAAGTGACATTAATACTTTATTATCTAATTTAATATTTTTAAAGACTAAAGTTTTTATATAATTATATTTATGTGTTTTAAAGTACTTATTTTGACACGCCAGAGATAATAATTTCTACCTTAACTGTATACCGATAATAATAAATAAATCGTTTCCGTTAGTTAAAAATCTCCCACTACATTATATAATACACAATCTAGTTCATTATGTAATTTTTATTCTAAATTTAATTTTTAAATGATAGAGAAAAATGACAGTTCAATATTATTTCTGTACAATTGTTATAATTAAAGTTACTATAGAATTACTAAAAATATCGTATTTATTAATAATAATAATTAATTTATTATTATCACTTTATTATCATTTATTATTAGATATTTTTTTTTAACTGTTACTATTATTGTTTGTTTGCGAAAATTCAATTTTCATAAATAGCAAAATTCTTCGAAAAAATTAAAATATTTTCAAAAATTTTAATAAATTTCTATGAATTTCTAAATGAATTTTAATTCATTTATTTTTAAGAACTTTAATGAAATTCTTCAAAAGAATTTAATACACTGTAAAAAAGGGAGTTAAATTTTAACTCCCCAGAGGATTCTATAAAAGTTGCACCTATTTGGGAGTTAAAGCGAAGGGAGTTAAAATTAACAGAGCAAAAATACGAATCAACTCCAAAAGAGAGTTAAATTAATTTTTTTACCTCTAACTCAGAACTAAATTCTAAAATGATCTATGAAAGTCAATTTTTTAAATTTTGTTTTATAAATTTTTAATGTTAATGAAAAGTATATTATATAAACAATAACACTTTAGGCGCCTAAAGGAAATTGTTTTTTTCATAAAATTACTGCAGCTCATTGCAATTTAACTTTTTTAAATGAAACTGATGTTTTGCGATAATTTTTCTTAATTATTTAAACAATTTTAATAAACAAAAGCATTTTAGGGACATTTTTGGACAGAAATAAATCGAATTTTTACAATTAAGTTTTCTTCTAAGCTGCCCAGAGATTGTCATCTAAAATAAATTATTTTTTAAATAACTTTCTCATTTTTATAAACAAATTGTATGAACAATTATATTCATCAAACATTTTTGGTCAACAATTAATCGTCTGTTTCATAAATTAAGATTAAATATTATACAGTTAATTTCTTCTAATGAAAAGGAAGTTTTGCTTCAATTTCTCTTATTTTTACAAATAAATAGCATTAACAATTAAATTTGATGAAAATATTTTTTTCAAGATTTATTTTATTTCTGTTTAAAAACGTCCCTACAATGCAATTGTTTATTAAAATTATTTAAATAACTAAGAAAAATAATTGCAAAACATAAATTTCATTAAAAGAAAGTTTAATCGCAATTAGCTGAAGTAAATTTATAAAACAAGCAAATTATTTTTAGTCATATCTTCGCGTAAAATGTAATTGTTTATAACAATTTTTAATTTTTGAAACAATTTTTTTACTACTTACACACCCCTAGACATAGAATGTATGCAATATTGAATAAGTAAAAAAAATTTGTTTAAAATATATTCAAAAGTTTAAAATATCATTTTTTACACTTTTTATTAACATTAAAAATTTATGAAACAAAATTTAAAAAATCGACTTTCATAGATCATTTTAGAATTTAGTTCTGAGTTAGAGGGAAAACAAATTTTAATTTGGTTAAAAATTGTGGTCTAAAAGTTGATTTGAACGAAATTTGGTCTTTTTATTCCACTATGGAGCGCAGCAAACGCGATCACAAAAATATTAATAACTTTTTACCTAATTCAATAATTATACTGAATCATAATTGACCAGAAAAAATACGAAATTAGGCGAAGAAGTTTATTTTATTTTTGTTTATAATAATTGTTGCTATTTTAAACAAATTATGAACAAAATCTAACAAATATTTTTTGTTCGAAATCAAAAGTATGATTATTGTATATTACTCATATACCAAATTTTATTAAAGTTCATCAAATTGAACGCTAGGAAAAATTTTTTCAATAATGTGATGCGTAGAAATTGTTTAAACAATAACTCTTAAAAAAATTTAAATTTTGCCAAATCAACTTTGGGGTTATATTTTGGTACAAAAATACTATAAATATTATTGATATGCAATATAAAAATATCTCTATTGAAAAATTAGTAGCACGTTCTTTTGAAGCTTTTGAGTGAATTAAGTCGAAGTGGTGAAGTCTGTGAATGAAAGCAGTAAAAGTAGTGCCTAGCTAAAGTTAGGGACCAAATTTTAAAAAACAAAACTTACTTCCAAAAGAACTTAAACTGAATTTTTCTTTTCCAGGTTGCATAACCGTCACCGGTTACGGCACAATAATATCCTGGAGTTCACCAGCACTACCATTTCTGGAGAGTTCTGCGTCTCACATTAAAATCACACTAAATCAAAGTTCCTGGATAGCGTCCCTCTATCTAATTGGATTTATCATCGGCTTCATTCTAAATCCTCTCGTTGTCGATCGACTCGGTCGGAAATGGACCCTAATACTCTTCGCCCTACCACAAATAATATCATGGCTTCTAATAATTTTTGCCCAAAATCACCAAACTCTCTACTGTGCACGTCTAATCGGTGGTGCCGGCTACGGTGGCGGCCTCTGCGCAATGACCGTCTACATGACTGAAATTGGCAACAAAAATAATCGTGGAATATTTCTCATACTCATCCGCCTCTCAATGGGCCTCGGTTTCTTATTAACAATGTTCCTCGGCGCCTACTTTACCTATCAACAAATGAATTTTGTCCTCCTAATGCTACCAATATGTTTTGTCATCCTATTCATCTTTATGCCCGATTCAAAATATTTTCTTGAAATAAACCAAAGGAATGAGCACAAATTGAATTCTATTCGACAAAAAGAGGAAGAGACTGAAAAACTAAAAGTAACTTTAGATTATGTTGAACAAAACGAGAATTCAAAACTAAATTCCCCTGAGGAGGGAAACATGAAAAAGGAAAATTCGCAAAATTGTGATACAAGGGAAATAATTATATGGAAATTAATAAAAAATCCAACAAACAGAAAAGCACTGATAATAGTCGTTGCAACCGGTTTACTGAATATTCTCTCTGGCCAAGCGGCAATCGGTGCGTTTGGACAACAAATACTCAACTACAAAACAACTCCAATGGATCCAAAGAAGGCAATGATTTTACTATCTGCCCTGAATGCAATAGCCTGTCTAGTTAGTACACAAATTATCGAAAATATAAAACGTCGCAACATTTTACTATTCTCCGGACTTATCTCCTCACTATCACTTATATCAACCGGCGTTTATTTCTATTTCGAAAAAAATATTCCACCCGAAAAAATTTTTGGTTTCTTACCAATTTTATTCTTATCGATATATGACGTCCTATTGAGTACAGGACCAAGTAATATATTTTATATTTATCAAGGTGAATTATTTGCGAATGAAGTGAAAAGTGTTGCAGTGACTGTTGTAAAATTTGTGTACATTATTTTTGGTTTTCTAACGGTTTATTATTTTCAACTATTGACAAAATCAGCTGGTATACATTGGATATTTTTCATTTTTGGTTTATGCTGTGGTTTAGGAACGATATTAGTTTATTTAATGGCACCCGAATCAAGGGGCAAACATCTTGAGGAAATTCAAGAGACTTTAAAAAGACGATCATTATTTTACAGAATTCATAATTGTTTTCAAAATAAACATAGCATTAATTTCTAATTGTAATTCTCTTGTAATTTTATTAAAGATATTCAATTTTTTAATAAATTTCTAGATATTTATTTAAAGGTCCATTAATTTATAGAAGTAGGGACAAATACCTTATCAAAAAAGTTTTTTTGGGTTTATCTCCATTTTTCTGAAAATCCAGACTTAATAGACTTTGTGACTTGGGATCGAGGTAATAAGAAAATATCGATAAAAATTGATAAAAGCAACGGTCTTCATAGTAAACTTAAACCGGAAGTAAATACTGAAAATGTATTACAACCTATCGATACAAAGTCTGCACCCTGCAAGGATGTTATTATTAATTTTATTGACAGATTGCCTGAAAAAGAGCAAGAACAAATTATTTCTAATGTTTTGCGGAAGAAAGCGAATAATGGAACATTTTCAGCAGAAAATAAAGTAATTAAAAACGTTCAACTGGAACTTAGTAATGACAAAGGAAATTTAAAAAATGCAATAAGTTTTACTGAATGAGGAAAAAATGATAAGCAAACTTTTTTTCTGAAGAAAGTTTAGATAATTACTTTGTAGAAAATAATATGTCATGAAATCAATAATCAAATCAGAAAACTGACACAGGAGCACAAAGGGAAATTGAGGTGGACATGTTCTAAGTGAAGGTGATCTTTATGTTTTTTGGGTCGCTGATTACGATGCCGGTGTCCGCATGACCCCAACACGTCAGCATCAAGGTCATCTCAAGGTCATACACCTTAATTTGAAATATTTAATTTTTTTACCCCGGATTCAGAAAGAGCGGAAAATTTTACTTCTGAATAGGTTTTGATCGATTTTATGAACCAACCTTTAAAAGTCAATTGAAGGTCATCTTGATCAGTCTTGGTCACACGGACACCTGGATCGTAATCAGCGACCTCAAAAACATAAAAAGCAATTTGTTTTAAAATCCATTCCTAGCTAACTTTCTGGACAAGAGAATAAAATCAAAATTTGACCTTCTAGATGACTTCCAATTGACCTTTAATGGTAGATTCAAAAAATTGATCAAAAAGTATTCGGACGTAAAATTTTCCGCTCTTTCTGAATCCGGGGTCAAAAAAATTAAATATTTCAAATTAAGGTGTTTGACCTTGAGTTGACCTTGATGCTGACGTAATGAGGTCATGCAGACACCGGCATTGTAATCAGCGACCCTAAAAACATGAAGATCACCTACGGTTGGAACATGTCCACCTCAATTTCCCTTTGTGGTTCTGTGTTATCATTGCCATATAAGTAAAAAAATTAACTCATTAAAAGAAGTATATAAAAGTAGTGATACATTTAAATTTGAAACATTGAAGACAGAAGAAAAGAGACCAGTGATATGGGACATTGCAAACTTAAAGTTATAGCTGACAGAGGACAGAAATTTTTTAAAATATGCATCTCGATAATAACTGAAAATTATAAATCAATAATTGATGCTGATTGTAGCAGTGAAGATGATAATTATGAGCCTAAGATAAAAATATTTAAGTCTAAATGCAAAAAAGTTAACGTTAAATCAGAAGCAAAATTAACAAGTGTGAAAAAACTATTAATGTTGTGCATCGTTCCTGATATAAAAGAATCATACGAAAATTTGAAGAGACTATTTAAAATAACAGGTACCCAGTAAGAAATTGCCAATAGACTATGATCGGTCCAATATCGGCCCAATATTGGTTGCCGTGCTGGGCCCCGATTGACTCACAATATTGGACCAATATGGGCGAGACCAGAGTATATATTATCTGCAGATATACTCTGGTCTCGCGACGAATCTCTCGATACTTAAACACTGGAGTCGCCTTGTCAGTTGCGAAAACGGTTGTAGCGTCCCTCTTGTGGCGGAGATAAGAATTATCACGTAAACTGAGTGTAATACGGCCGTAGGTAAAGCGATGCGTGACAATAACCAAACACAACATTTAATTCAAGGGTTAGGTATTTCAAAATAATTATTTACAAATTAAAAACAAAACAATAACGCTTACCAACTATAAAAAAGGCTTCGGAGATGAATATTTTTTCAGAAAAAAAACTCACGTTTTTATTAAATTTAAAAATATTGAAACGTAATTTAAGAACATTTTTGAGCTACACCTTCAAATATTCATATATAGGTAGATTACGTATAATTAAAAAACAGTTTAAAAATATGATGTTATAAACTGAAAAACGAGGCTTCGGAGATGAATTTGAATTTTTACTCCCACTGCCAGTAATTTTTAATTAATTATTTAAAAAATTTATTTTATTTTAACAAAATATAAGTGAAAAATAAACGGTAGATTCTAAGCTTTAATTTGATATATATTAATACTATATTACAAAATTTTGAATTACATTAAAAAATAATTAAATATAAGTATCATATTTCACCAAAACTAAAAGACAAAATTAAAAAAAAGTTTTACTAAGAAAAACTTTAAATTTTAACTTTACAAAATTATGTAAAGATAAATAATTTTTCGTAGATTATGGATAAATTTTTTTTAAATTTAAACTCAACAGAATATCAATAAAAAATTAATGCAAATATTGAGTCTCACGTTGGAGACACGTGAAGTGGTCCCTTTCAGGAGAATCAGCCATTAACATTATTATTGTCAACAATATTTATTTATTTATTCCAAATTAGAAAAAATCAAGCGCAAAGAACACTTTCTTTCCACTGAAGATTTATTATTTGCATTAAATTAATTTTAATAGAACAAGAATACTAAGTAAATCCACTGTGGTCCAGATCGCAAATGTGCCTCTTGCGATGAAAACCGCTGCTTTTATACATGTCAGTCGCGCACGGAGTGGGGACAGTGGTACCAACGACCCTAAGTGGCAAACATCTGCGCTTGCGCCACTCTGCGTTTCTTATTGGTTGAAAATAGCGCGCTTATTTGAATTTGAACCTTAAAGTTTGCCTTTGTGGCAAGTGAATTCGCCTTTGATTTTACCCCCTCTTGCGAGGTTTCTAATGTCAACGAGTACTTTTTATTACTGACATCTATTCTTTCGTACTGCATAAAAATTTACCCCTTTTATTCCACAAAAATTGCTAAAATTTATTGTCTATAAATACTTCAAATTGTGTATTGAAGTCCAAGTAAAAATTTTTGGCTCAGCAAATATTCTACCTAAATAGGCATCTCTTCCTCGAGTGTCGATTGGGTGGTGGCTCGAATTCCTTCTCACGTACATCAAAGGTGGAAAGTTAAATACTCCAACTCGCAATGGATATCGATTCATATTTCGTAATTTGTCAGGAAATAAAAGAACATCTCGACTGTACGAATTTTGTGCTCCTGACAAACGAACAATTTGCATCACTGATTTCTCGATAGTTGGAAAATCCTTCTCTTCGTTTACAATCAGAAATAGTGTCGTGTCTCGTAAATTTAGAAACGTTTTGAAATTGAATATATCTTCAATATTCCTTCTATTCAAATGCACTGTATTCACTTGTAATGTTGGTAAATTACGCTGAATAATTTTCAAAACAGAAAATGTATTTTTCTGAAAAGAATCCTCAAAGTTGGTAATCAGTAATGTTTGATAAGTATCAAAATTTATAGACTTTAGTATATTTTTTATTTTTTCTAAATCTATTGATCCTAGTATATAAATTGTCTGATTGTTCAGAGGGTCGGTGGTTCTTTCCCCATACAACACGAAAGAAGATAAATTACTTGCAGAGTAATTGTAATTTTAGTTGTCATGTAATTTTTGTTTATCTTGCCCGACTTCGTAAACAGGAAATAACTTTGCTCATAGCAACTTGTTAGTAAAGTACATTTTTTGAAATAATTCTTTTCAATTTTGTAATACTCTGTGGATGTGTTGCATTCTTTGTAACATAGCAACAAAGTGAACTTAATAATTTTCATAACAAATTGAAAAATTGCACTGGATCGATGTGTTGTTCTTTCAGTCACTAAGCAACTGAATGAATATTTCTTTCAGTTTTATCAACCACTAAATCATTGTCGATTTTTTTCATCTAATTGATGAAAATCTAAACAACTATTCTTCCAATGCCGAAAATTTTGCCAATCTTATCTATTAATAATTCACCGAGAAATACAAAACAAGAGAGACCGAATCCAATATTAAAAATGTAGAACATCAAAATTCTTAAATAAGCATTCTCATCTTCATCTGCCGCCTCCAAATCTACGATTATCATCTCACTCTTCGCGGAGAAAAATGGAGTTTGAAAAACTGGGAGTCAATATTGAAAAAACAGGACTCAGTCCAGTAAAAGTACATTAATTCATTTCCATCAAGCATCTTAGGGTATTGCGTATAGTGTATAGAAGGCCTTAGTTCCAAATTTCACTGTAAACAGCATTGAAACACAGGCGAAGATTATAAGGCGCGCTGCAGTGTGCATAGTAGAGAAACTGGACTCAGTATCCTACTTCGAAATTTTCACAAAAAGGGAACGCAGGCGCGGAACCTGTCAAAATAAATGGCCGACGCGACGCGAAACGAGTGTTTCCTTTTATTCACTTCGTCAATTTTATATAAAAAACAATAACCAATCATTAAAAAAAAGAAAAATATGTTAAATGCACTCTTTATATATTCATATTCTTTAATTCACAAGTTTTATTCTTCCCACATCTTCATACTTACAATTAACAACTAAACGAATCGGAAAATCTTACAATCATACGGGATTGAGCACCTACCTAACCATACAACTAAATATACACATAATTATAAATCGCACCCTTTTTACATTAAGCCTCTCGGCTACGCAATCGATGGGGGAAATTTCCTATTTAAGAAGCATCCCTTACCAATGAAATACATTAGATCATGCGTGGATTTTACTTTGTAATTAATGTATGGATAGATGTCAACAATATTCATAATATTGAATAAATAATATTGTCAACTAGTTTAAATTTGATACGGTTATTAGAATTTAATAATAAATAAATAAAAAACATTAATTTTTTCCTAACCTTTTTCAAGTTTGACACTCCTAATGGTAAATTTGATTATTCTTTTTTTTCCGCGTACAAAACAGTGAATTGACCTTGAATGAAATGTATAATTAATTATTCTCAAA